TACGATTAAGCATATGGTTCTTCTGTTGGTAGGTTTATGGGTGAGGGAAGGAGGGGGGAGAAAAGGTACAGACGATATTTCATGAATAAGACTGCAGAGGAAAAGTGTAAGAAAATTTCCTAGCCACTCCCTACAAATTCTAAAACTCTGTATTTCTGGGAAGGAAAACTTCAGTAGCCCCTAAGCAATTTTAAATCCTCCCCCTCTTTTTTTTTTTTTAAGACGAAATCAATTATTTTTCCTATGCTTTGGTCAACAAGTGCTCAAGTCTAGACTTAGTGTTTAACAAGGACATGTGAGCAGTTTTATTAGTATAACCTGTGGAAATGACTTATCTCTTACTGAAGTTTCTAATACTACTGAGATTCATTTTGAAAATATCTTATGTCAACTGCTTCAGAAGGCTGAAAAGGCTAAAGAAGCTTATTACTGATATCATTATTATTAAGAATCAGACTATTTCTACATTGTTCAAATCACTATTTTGACTTGTTGTCCTACATGCAAGCTCTAAGAAGTTTCCACAGTGCCTGAACTGTGGTATAAACTGTAACAGGTTAAATTAGTGAATGATCACTTTAGAACACTTTAACACTGATCAGAACACTCTGTTATCTTTGCTGCTGCTATTGGGAAGAAAATCATCTGGGGGCACTGGAGGATTCTGCTGCAATGCTAGTGAAAAGTACTGTATTAGGTATTAGAAGGATTCTCAAAAAACCTCCCCTCTAAGGTTTACATGAAAATATTCTTCTTAGGCAACAAGCATGGCCCATGTCTCTCCTCTTCACTTCCTGAAAGCAAGGCCCACTGTATTCTTTCTTCTTTTGAGGTAGGATGTTAGGTGTCTAACATGCCCCCTTTAAACCCTGTCAATGCCATCGTGGTATTACTTTCTAACTCAGAAAGTGAACTACACTTTCTCCAAATATGTCAGCCTGAGTTCCACAAAAATGAGACTCACAGAATCTTAGAAGCTAGAAGAGAATTTAGAGGGCGTTTTGTCCAAATGAACAAATAAACTGGAATAATGGTATCCCCAGAGTATATGAAGCAGTGTCCAGGGGATATGAGATGCCATAGAATGAATCTGACTCAACTCCTGGAAGGATCACTTTTACTCAAATAGTTCTGAGTAGAGATTTAACTGCAAGACAAAACATTTTCAGGAACTAAAATGGGAACACTCCAGATTCTTCTGCCATCAAGTTAGAGTTCCAGTGTTTGACTAGATGCAGAATTCCCTTCTACGTGAAGAAGACATGATAATTATAAATCATGGCTACCATTTACTGAGCACTTACAATATGCCAGGCACTGTGGTCAGAGTTTTACATATATTATCTCATTTAATCCTCCTAACACTATCAGGCAATAGTAGTAATTGTTTGTTTCTATTTTACAAAGGAGGAAACTAAGCTTAAAAAAGGTGGAAAAAACTTGCCCATGTTCACCCAGCTAGTAAACAGCAGAGTTGGTGTTTGGCCCAGGGCTGTCTGGCTCCAAAACCTGTGACCTTAACTGCGGCCTCAGAAATGTGAAAATGAGGCAGAGGGACCGTAAGTCTTAAATCAGAAAAGCCTTAAACAAGCCATGTGTCTTTCTGTCCCTCGAGTTTTCCCAGCTATAAAATTCGAATACCTATCTCTTCCTTCATGATAAGAATCCAGAAGCTCATGGGAGTATATATCTATATCTATATCTATCCATAATAATGAATATACACACACACACACACAGCATCTTATTTTAGAGCTAAAAAGAAGCTTGGTCTGGGCGCCTGGGTGGTTCAGTCAGCTGTGTGTCAGCCTTTGGCTCAGGGCATGATCCCAGGGATCTGGGATCAAGCCCTACATGGGGGTCCCTGCACCGTGGGGAGCCTACTTCTTGCTCTCCCTCTGCTGCCCCCCTCTCCCCGCCTATTCTCCCTCTCTCTGTGTCAAATAAATAAATTAAATATTAAAAAAAAAAAAACCCTGGTCACATAAAAACTTGTACATGAATGTTTATGGTAACCTTATTCATAATAGTCAAAAAGTGGAAACAACCCAAATGTCCATCAACTAATGAATAAGCAAAATGTGTTATATCCATAGAATGGAATATTCTTCAGCCATAAAAATAAGATATTGATATATGCTACAATGCAGATAAACCTTGAAACATCATGCTAAGGGAAAGAAGCCAGTCACAAAGAATCTCATATGTATGATTTCATTTATATGAAATGTCCAGAACAGGCAAATCCATAGAAACAGAGTGGTTATCAGGGGTCAGGGCATGGGGTAGGAGGTTAGGAGGAATAGAGAGTGACTACTAATGGGTATAGGATTTTATTCTTCGGCGGGGGGTGAAATGTTCTATAATTAAATAGTGGTGATGGTTGCACAACTCTAAATACACTAAAATCAAGTGAATTTTATACCTTTAAAAAGTAAATGTTATGGTATGTGCGTTCTATCTCAATAGAGCTGTTTAAAAAAAAAAAAAAACTTGGAGGCCATGGTGGCAAAAGAAATATACTTAAAAATACTTTGGGGGTGCTTGGCAGGCTCAGTCTAAAGAGCATGTAGCTCTTGATCTCGGGGTCATGAGTTTGAGCCCTGCATTGCGTATGATTACTAAAAAAATAAATAAACTTAAAAAAAATAACCTTGGACAGAAGCATCACAGAAATATTATATTACACCTTAGATATTATACGTTTCATGTTTATAAAGACATGTTATATACATCGTAACAAAGCCTGGCCTTCTACTACATCTCTCCTGGTTATCTTGTCCAAGGAGAATCTTAATTCACTTCAAAATACTCAACTCCTCTAGTTTCTGAGTGCCCAGTTAATAAAATGCTAAAATACAATCTAAACTGGCTGCTGATGTAAACCCCAGGGGCTTGTCCTGCTTAAAAAGAGAAAGGGAAAAAGCCACAAAACTCACCAAGGGCCTATATTCAAGGCCAGAAAGGATAACAAGAATCTAGATCTAATGGAAATTATATCCCCCTACGCCCTCTTGGGAACAGCTTGTCAGGATTTCCTACAGAAAAATTAGGCAAAGGAAGCTCAACTATAAAGGTACTGCTTTATTGAAACAACCATCAACACTGAAATCCTTACCTTCATAGAGTGCAGCATAATATAAACACATTATCTTACTTTCATCTCAACAATATTTGTATAAGGTACAGATTTTTACTCTCATTTTATAAGTAAGGAAAGTGAGGCACAAGCAAGTCAATGAGAAGCAGAGTTAAGATTCAACATGCATGTAAATTCCAAGTTCTCTGCTCTTTCACCATGTCATGTTAATATCTGCTTTCTCCCTTCATCTCTCTTGGCTACCTATCTTTCCCCAGACCAGAGAGCAGAACTGAGTTTGTTTCTCCTGACATTATTTTGTAACATGAACTTACTCCCAAGAAATCATTTTCCCTTTAATTGTTCTGGTTTGCTGTATTCCTTGCATAGGTATCCGTAAGAAACACTTGCTCAGAATAAGTATTAAGTCAATGCTGTTGAACAAATAAATAAATCTGGCTAGGTGTATCCAGTTAGTTTCATCTTTCATGAATAATGAATGAAGATGCAAAACCTAAAAAATCTTACAAAATCCTTTCCCAGTGGTTGCAAAAGGTTTTAGAACGGAGTCAGAAATGTTGCTACTGAACTGGCCTTGAAATGACTTCTTGAGGAACTGTCCAACTCTTCCCTCCCAGCCAATCAAATGATGATGTAATCCCCTAGACGGGAAGCCCACAGGCAAGATCTTTAGCTCTACTTATCATCCGATTCTCACCTTTCGCACAAGCTCATATTTCCTGCAACTAGCTACTTTCCAAGTTATTAGGCATCTCTTTTTTCCCTTCCTTCTTCCTTACCTGTCTCCCTCCCCTCTTCCTTACCTGTCTCCCTCCCCTCTTCCCCACCTCCATTCTCTCCTCTACCTCTTCTTCCTTTCGCTAGTGGTAGCATTTACCTCACACTTCCCAGTAAGACACGAAGGTACCCAAGAGAAGCAACTATGACAAACTAATGAAATAACTTCACAGGGTATTACCCACTGAATTAGTGGAAATGCCAAGTATTTACCATGTGCTGCTCTAGCTAAGCCTTTTCCAAAGAACTAAGCAGACCTATGGGATAAAATCAGACTAGAAGTTCATTTTTCTTCTGATAACTGAAGAGTTAATAGTTTTATTTTCAACACATAAGAAGGACTGAAGTACATTATAAATCCAGCTCTTAATTTTCAAAAGTAGGTGGATTTAAAGACTAGGGCATTAACAACATTCCTATATTTGTTAAAAAGTTATGTTCTATATTTAAATTAGATTTCTACCTATTCAGCCCTCAAACTCCTTCCTCGCAATAATTTCATAGTCTTGACCTTGGTTACTTAATTAGTACTTCCATGACACCACCCTATAAAGATACAAGTAAAGAATTTTTACTTAATATTAAATAAAAAGAACAAGTTTTAAACATAGATATGCATATACCTCCTTTCACATTTAAATAATATGAAGAAACATATGTTCACAAATGTAACATCATTGAAAACCTTTAGCTCTAGTAATTTTCCCTAAGCTTTTCAGTTTAAGGATAGTATCATTTAATATTTGAACTAAATGCATTAACATAATTTTACCCATGACAGACTTTCTCTAAGTAAGGAATCATAGACTTTTAGAGCTTTCTGGAATGTCAGATATCATTAGGCAGATATCATTAGGCACAATTCTTCCATTTTAAAAACGAAAAAACTCCCAAGTTAAGTGTTTGTCAAAGTCTTATAGCTGACTAATGGCAGGTAAGGGATTTTGGCTCCTGACTCCCAGTTCACAGAGCTAAAGTTCTATAGGTGAAAAATATTTAACTTGTTGATATCAGCCAAAAAGGCAACAAAAATCAGAACTCCTCTTACCATATGTATGACTGACATCACACTGGTTTCAACTTTCAGTATTTCTGTACCATAAATTCTTAACTTGTGACTTACCCTGGTGAGTTGATCCAATAACCTCTGGTTCTGTTCTGATAATTCCTGGACGGCCCGTGTTTTTTCTCGATCTGCTTCCCGCAGATGAACCTGCTGCCTCTCCAACTCATCCTGAAGCTGTTTCACGTCACTCTCCAGCTCTGACACACGCCCTTCCCATTCCCCTTCTCGGTTCTCAAATCGTCTTCTCAGTTCGTGTTTCTCTTGTTCTAAGTGCTAGGTGAGAAGTGAAGAGGATTTAAAAACTGTTCAAAATTCACAGCCTTTTGCTTTTTTCTCTTCTCACACTTTCCTAACTTTTCTTTTTCCCAGCCAGTCAGCACAACAAAACACCCTGCCACATGGGAAAAGTTGCCTATTTCACAGCTACAAAAACATTCCTTTCTTGCAAAGTAGGGACGGCACTGGCTTCACAAAGAGAATGCCATTCCTCTTTAAAATGCTTAATATTACTAAGTTTATTCTCATTCTTGAGAATGGATTGTGGACTTAGGAGTTCAGTTGAAATTGAACAAGTCATCCAATTAACTGGTGAACTATACATTTAAACAACTTAAGAGAGTCCTTAAGGCTTCTTTTAGAATCATCTATTATGCTTGGCATAATACCAGGCACTTAGAATCAAGGAATTTTCAGAGATGGAAATAACTCCAGAGATCCTTCAGATTAACCACCTTTTCTTACAAATGAGGTAACAGAAGATAAGAGGTCAAGTAACAAGCTCAAGGTCAATACCAGTAAAAGAAAGAGCTGGGATTTGTGTTTAAGTCATTGGACTCCATTAGTGCTCTAAATCACAATTCAGTAAATATTTGTTGTGATATAAGGTATTATATTTTGATATCAAGCAAGTTCAGCTTCAGATCTGCTTTAAATCATGGCCCATTAGCCCTGCATATTTATTTCTGATCCATCCATTCATTCTTAACTACCTACTATGGGTCAGCCACTGTGCTGGGGACACAATGAAAAGTAAAAGAGACAGGGTCCTTGCGTTTACAGAGCTTTCATTCTAGTGGGAGAGACTGGTAAAAGTAGAAAGTTGTGTGTGACAAATGGTATGCAGTAAAAATACAGATGGCTTGAAGTAGCAGCTCAATAAAAAAGGATTCTTTTGAAGGAAGTAAGAGTATCTTTTTGTTTCTGTGAGACAAATATGGATGTCTCTTTACAGAGCCAAGTACGCTCTACTTAAAAAGCATACTATGTACAAGAAAGTGAAGTCTATACCCCACAGTATATTAAAAAGAAGTTAAAGCAATGGTCCTCAATTTGGGGGGCTCTCAGAAAAGCTCTGATATAATTGTTGTAAATATACCCTCCTGGACCTGAATCCCAAAGACTGTGATTTGTCAAGAATGAGATGAAGTCTAGACATGCATCTATCTGCCTATCTATATTGGCTCTACAGGAAATTCTGATGCACTGAAGGTTGATATCAAGCATTCTGATTGTTTCAACAAGCTAAGATGAGCATCTGAATCTTCTTCAGAGTAGTCAGTCATCTTTTCTACTTGGGAAGGTATGCTCTTATTCTATCCAAATTCTCACTCTTTGAATATTTTTTGGAATGCTTCTTTTGGAAAGCCTTAAGGCCAGTGTATACTTAAACATGAAAATGAAAATCAGTCTGTTACTTCACATCTAATATGTGTCTAGAAAAGAGATCACTCCATTTCGTCCTGTCATTTTATTCTCCTCTTTTGCTCTAAATGACCTGATGTTTCTTAAAGTCGAATTTATCCCCAAAAGATGAAAACATGCCATCAAAAAGCAGTCAAAATAATATGCCAAAAAGATAAAACCAGTGATCTGAAATGAAAATTCTGATCACATTAGCAAAGGCAATTTTTACTGAAATCAATATATGGCCTCCCAGGTTGACCACTTCTGGGAGATAACTCACTTGGATATAATCATTCTACTGTATTTGTTGAAAAAGTCACATTATAGTTATATTTTATACAGCCTCCGTTTGGAGCATGCAGGGAAAAGAAGGACAAGGGAGGGACTTCTCATCAGCATGAGAACTTTCTGCTCTATGCTTCCCTCAACATTGCCAAACTCCAAAAATGAAAATGTTTTAGTCACCGTAGAGACTTCAGAAAGATGAAATGCAGAAACAAATGCTAATTGCAATCCTAAAATTGTGATACTTGGTTTTATTCAGTTTTTCCAAAATGAAAAAGATTGAGCAGAAGGCAACAGCAAGAATTCAGTAATCACAGTGTTACTGAGAGGCCAGATAAATTAGGCTTGTGTTCTAAAAGAACAGAGAGACTTAAAAATATTCAGCAAACAGCTGTTAGCGAACAGCCCAACCAAGCAACTAAAACAATCCAATCCACTTGGAGTTGGGGGAGGGTTTGAGACAGTTGGTGCTGATCAGTCTATTCTGTCCTTAGAGCTCCCTGGTCATGTGACAAACTTCCTAATTCAGGTTTCCCAGAACACTGAAAAAAATCAATTAAGACTTTCCTATTAATGAACATACAGAATTTAGCCCTTTGTTCACTCAAAGAAAGGTTTCCTAGAATTGTATTTTCAACTAAGTGAAATTAACCAGTAAACTCTAGGCAGCATATTGGGACTTGTGGAGGTAAGGGGTTGTTCTGTTATTCATTTAATATATTTATTTTGTTATGTGTTATTTTAAAAGTTAATATCTATACCTGAAACTAATAATGTTACATTATGCCTTAACTATACCTCAATAAACAAAAGAAGAAAAGTTAACATCAAAACCGTCAAGGTCATCGAAAACAAGAAAAGTCTAAGAAAGTGTTACAGCAAAGAGGATACTACGAAAAACTAAATGCAATGTATTCAGGATGGGATCCTGGAAAAGAAAAAAAAAAAAGGTAAAGCCTAAGGAAATCTGAATAAACTGAGGAGTTTAGTTAACAACATATCAGTATTGATTATTTTCATTATGGCAAGTTTACCATAATATGTTAATAACAGGGGAAACTGGGTTTGTAGCATATGGAAACTTACTGTACTATCTTTCTATGTTTTCTGTAAACCTGAAACCATTCTTAAAAAAATAAAAATTTATTGGGCGCCTGGGTGGCTCAGTGGGTTAAAGCCTGTGCCTTCGGCTCAGATCATGATCTCAGGGTTCTGGGATCGAGCCCCACATCGGGCTCTCTGCTCAGCAGGGAGACTGCTTCCTCCTCTCTCTCTCTGCCTGCCTCTCTGCTTACTTTGCAATCTCTGTCTGTCAAATAAATAAATAAAATCTTAAAAAAAAAATAAAATAAATAATAAAAATTTATTGAAACCCCCGAAAAAATGAAAGTTAATATCATTAGCCCATCTAAAATTGGTTGTTACAGAAATTGGGATTTCTGCAAAGAATAAAAAAAAAACACCATTCTCCTACGTTTAGGATATACAATGAAAAAGTACTAATTTTTAAGTGGACCAAGCACTGAATACAAGGAAGGACCTCTGCGTTGCCTCTCCAAATCTATTAGTGACTCTCATTATGTGATTATTTTCACTTTACTTGTTTGGCCCTTTAAAAACACTGTACTAAAATCATGAGAATTGGCCTAAGGAAGGGAGAAGAAAATGTAGTTGAGGGAAAAGACTACCTTTGCAGTAAGAGAAAATTCATTCTCAGCTAGAATAGGAAAAAAGGGGATCTTGTATGTTAAAAAGGTTTTGGAAAACTAAATATTTAATTTATGAAGAAAAAAGTATATAAATAAATGCAAGTTACTGTCTTAGTTCATATTTTGGGAAAAAACTAAGGACCTAGTGGGTAGAAGATTTAAAAGCAAAAGGGCAGGGGTGTCTAGGTGGCTCAGTTGGTTAAGCCTCTGCTTTCAGTTCAGGTTATGATCCCAGCGGTCCTGGAATGGAGCCCCCACATTGGGCTCCCTGCTCAGCAGGGAGCCTGCTTCTCCCTCTCCTCCCTGCTTATGCTCTATCTCACTACTTCTCTCTCTCTCTTAAATAAAATCTTTTAATTAAAAAAAAAAAAAAAAGCAAAAGGGCTCACTGTAGATGCAGACTTTTTTTTTAAAGTAGGCTCCACCCCCAGCATGGAGCCCAGTCATAGGGCCTGAACTCACCACCCAGAAATCAAGACCTGAGATGAGATCAAGAGTCCAGTGCTTAAGAGACTAAGCCACCCAGATGCCTCCAGAAGAAATACAGTTTAAAAAATAACTTTCGGAGTGGGGCACCTAGATGGTGCAGTCAGTTAAGTGTGGGAGCCTTGGTTTTGACTGGGGTCTGATCTCAGGGTCCGAGATGATGGGAGTCCTGCATAGAGCTCCAGGTTCAGCCAGGAGTCTGCTTGGGATTCTCTCTTCCTCTTCCTTGCCTGTGCCCCCTCACTCCTCATTCTCTCTAAAATACATAAATAAATCTTTTTTTTTTTTTTAAGATTTTATTCATTTATTTGAGAGAGAGACAGTGAAAGAGAGCATGAGTGAGGAGAAGGTCAGAGGGAGAAGCAGACTCCCCATGGAGCTGGGAGCCTGATGCGGGACTCGATCCTGGGACTCCGGGATCATGACCCGAGCCGAAGGCAGTTGTCCAACCAACTGAGCCACCCAGGCATCCCAAAAATACATAAATAAATCTTAAAAAAATAACTTTACAGGTGTCTGGTTGGCTCAGTTGGTGAAGTATGGGACTCCTGGTCTTGGGTTGTGAGTTTGAGACCCAGAGTGAGCATAGAGATTACCTAAAAAATAAAACCTTAAGGGGTGCCTGGGTGGCTCAATCAGTTAAGCCGCTGACTCCTGATTTCGGCTGAGGTCACCATCTCAGGGTCCTAGATGAAACCCCACATTTGGCTCTGGCTCAGCAGGGAGTCTGCTTAAGCATTCTCGCTCCCTCTGCATACCACCCCCCCCGACCCTGCTCTCAATCCTTTCTCTCCTTAAAATAAATAAATCTTTACTTTTTTTTAAAGATTTTATATATTTATTTGTCAGAGAGAGAAAGGAACAGCAGGCAGAGAGAGAAGCAGGATCACTGTGGAGCAAGGAGCCTGATGTGGGTCTTGATCCCAGGACCCTGGGATTATGACCTGAGCGGAAGGCAGACACTTAACTGACTGAGCCACCAAGGCGGCCAAGAAGAAATGAAATAAAATCTGGAAAAAAAAAAAAAAATTTAGAACTCCAAGCATATGAAAACATAATTCAGTGAATGAATAAAATACAATATAGTCAATTAAAGGGTGGGAAAAAGATGACCAAATCTTCCAGTCTTTCAAATTAATCTTCATTTTAACCTGAGATATACAGCTAAAAAAAATTGTTATCCTTTAAAACATTAAAGACTTTAAATACTGTGCCTTTAAATGAGAGAGCAGTATAAAATCAAGACTTTATGTTTTAAATGACAAAACAAAGTCTTAGGTTTGGCACACAGAATTGGGAAGGTATTCAATATTAACTAATGAATAGGTAGGAAAAAAGTCTTGACAATGGCTTGTTGGTCCTGAAGTTAGAAAGGTGCTAATTTTGAAGTAGTAAGGGAACAGAGGGGAATAAAACAAGACCAATCTCATTAACAGTCAAGCCAACATTGTCTCAGAGTCCACTCATGTGTTAATCTTTCACTCACAGGAGAAAATGTGTTTGACTCCACTGACAATTTCTAGAAAATTACAAATGCTTTTTAAAGGGCAAGTCCTCTACTCTTAAATATGTAATTGAAAATATAGCAGAGTGGTGGTATTAAACTTTAGACAGTATTTTGTCTAAACAGACATTCTAAAATCTAGGCTGCTTAAAAAATATACTGTGAGGAAAATTCACTTGCAAGTATCAAATAAAATCGTTTTCTATTAGGTTTCAGTCAATTAACAAGAATTAAAAGAAGGACCTAATGACTATATCTTCATGAAATATTTTTAAATGTACTTCTTGAAAAAACTAAAAATTCTTAATGATAATCTTCAAACATACTTTGAAGAAATAGAATAACTGAACCCTCCAATACTCATCCTCAGTAATGATTAATATTTAGCTTTTTAAAAATAAACATTTTAGGGGTGCCTGGGTGGCTCAGTGGGTTAAAGCCTCTGCCTTCTGCTTAGGTCATGATCCCAGGGTCTTGGGATTGAGCCCTGAATCAGGCTCTCTGCTCAGCAGGGAGCCTGCTTCCCCCTCTCTCTCTGCCCGCCTCTCTGCCTACTTGTGATCTGTCAAATAAATAAATAAAATCTTAAAAAAATTTTTTTAAAAAGTATACATAACATAAACTTTACCATTATAACCATTTGTAAGTGTACAGTTGAGTAGTGTTAAGTACATTCACAGTGTGGTGCAACCACAACCTCCAGAAATTAGAATAAATTTTTAACACTAGTGTTCATATGGTAACCTGTTGAGGAATAAAGATTTTATAAACTAGTTTAAGAGGTTTAAATGATTTATTACTGTCTGGTCAATAGCAAAAAGTTAAAGGTAGTTTACTCTTTTACAACAGAATCTTTCTTATTACACAATTTTAAAATCTTTTTCTTTCATTGAAGAAATGTACAAAGGCTCCACATGGAACCCAGGATGTGTGTAATTGCACACTCAGGATTACTCTGAAATCTATCAGTAATCAAACTGACTGATATGATGTTCCTTTCAAATTAGCAGTCTCTTCAATCAAGTCCCTCACTGAAGGAATTTCAAATCACAAGTATAAATCTCTACAGTAGTATTCTTATATAGAGTCATGTAACCAAATCCCATTTTCAAAAAAAGCACCCTTTTATTTCTAGACCTCTACTTCAAGTGAAAATTAAACAATTCAATTCATTGGATTGCTTTTTGGCAGTCTACTTATAGGTTTCACAAAACCACTTTTCAGAGAGATATCTCAGGGGTTCATCGACTGGCAGACCTAGTTAACAGGCCAACTGAACTAGAGGGCACTCACTGGTTTCCTTTTTTCCCCCTGATTTACTTTTGATATGTTGCTAGACCACAAACACACTTAAATCTTGTTACTGAAAAGTTTCTGAATCTACATTCTGACTGTTCAACCAGTAGCAAAGATAGCAGACTAGGGTCAATTTCAGACCTTATTCAGGACTGTACTATTCTCTTGTAACTAAGAATAAAAAGAACTGGTTGCCACCGAACTGGGAAACAATAGTAAAGGCACAGGCAGACAAAAATTCCACTGCCAGAATGCCCCCCCACCTCCTTTTAAAAAGAACTCTCTTTAATTTAGAAAGGCTGGCATTCCATACCACTTTCAAGGCCCTTTTCCAGTAATGGGAAAGAACAGGCATAGCTCTGAGAAAGACTTTGGTCCAGAGAATTGGCAGAAATCTTACAGACCCTTTAAGAGGTATTTATAACACTTAAAGTAATACGGTTCTGGGAGATTGCATTTCGCCATGGAATTTTGCATGCATGAGGCCTGGAACACAGAATACTGTTTAAATACAAAATACACAGAAATGCCGAGGTCCAAATTAAATCCACTACCAACGGTCACATGCTGAGCCCAGCCTTGCCTGATTTCTGCAATGGAACCACATTTCCTAATCCCCGAGTATTTGAAGGCTATATAAAGCTCCTTTAGGGGCACTTGTTTCCCACAACTCTGAGCTGCCGGGAAGTTAAGACAAGGGCATCTGGAGGCCTTAACGCCAAAACTGGAAGGCTTTAGACTAACACCCTGATTAGAGATTAACTACTCTGAAAACCTGGAGCATATTTTAAATGCTTCCCGACTTCCTCATTTCTCTGTGTGCAGACATCACCTCAGCACTGTATAAATTAGTCATACTGTAAGCTCTATTTTAGATGCAGTGTACAGTACATATATAGAATGGCCCACAGCGGGGCTGGGGCTGTGCATGGACCCGTTTGCTGAAGTCAGGTGGATTCAATGTTGCCCTGGTCTGATAACTGAAAACCCTCTAGCCTACCCCTCCCCTCAGGTGATTTTCTGTTGAGGTAGCGAGAGCAAGGAAGGAGTGGGGTGGGTGAGTGGCTCCCGAAGCTGCCGGGCGGGCTCTCCCTGCTTCCCACCCATCCCACGAGGGACGTCCTCACCTCCAGCTTGTCTGTCAGCTCCTTGTGCATCTGCTCGTACTGCCGGCTCATGTCCTGGTTCCTCTCGAGCAACGCCTTGCCCAGCCGGGCAGCCAACACCAGATCCTTCTCCTTTTGCCGGATTACCGACAGCAGCTCGGGATCCTGGGCGGGTGGCGGCTGCAGTCCGGACCCCTCGGCCGGAGGCCCGACCTCGGCCTGAGAATGCTCCCCGGGGTCGGACGGCCTTTCCCCGGCCGCCAGCAGCGCCAGCTCCTCCTCTAACGCCAGTTCCAGCTCCCCGGGGCCCCCCGGGAAGGAGATGAGGGCGGCGGCGGCGGCGGCTGGACTCCCGACTGCGTCCGCGGCCGCGGCGGGCAGCTCCATGCAGCAGGCGCTGTCCGGCTCGGCGGGTGCTGAAGCGCGGCCGGCCAAGCCCAGGCAGAAGGCGGACATGGCCCGCGCGCGCGGAGCCCGCAGCGGTGCGGCCCGGCCGGCGCGCGCCAGGCTGCAGGGGGGAGGGGCCCCGCCGCGCCGCCCCGCGCCCCGCGCCTCGCCCCACAG